ATGTTAAGTGAAATCGTTCAGCATGGGCGGAAGCAGTATCCTGATTACTTTAGTGACCTCATTGACAGGCCACATGCTTTCCTATCATCTTTCCGTCAGCTATGTGAATGGCCCTATTTATTATACATCCTCAGATAAAACAATAGTAATATTCAAAATCAAGCTCTGTAGGCATGGTTACAGGACAAGAGGGGTGGGCTAAAGTTCCGATCCAAGTAAAGTTGGACCGTAGGTGGTAAGTCTGTTGGGACAATGAGATGCAGACGATAAATCATCTCATCAAATCCCCTTCTGTCCTTATTCACAAGATGTATCACGAATTCTATTCGTCCCGACTTTATTAAGTCACTTTATTGTAGTAAGTCATTCTATCTAATTAAATGACAATGGTTCGGTGAAATCATGGGATCATATAGAGATTCGAATTCTCTGGTTAACCATGCCCTGAGCTATTCACATTTCCTATATCTTCCTATCATGTCTTCTCTGTCCAAATTGTTATCGGGCTTATTTTTAATGTTGTGTGGTGTGCTCCTTCGAGCCAGCAGTAACACAACATTTGTGGATTGGCACACAAGCGACTAGGGATAATGACAGGATAGATGAGGCGGCGATTGGAGCTTGTTGGCTGACAGTAGATTTTACAAGAGACGTGGTCCATGTAGCAAGGGCATGACCATGAGACTTACTCTGAGACTTTAGCCTCTAATCAATCACCCAAGCGCAGGAGATAGACAAATTACGCCATGAGTAGCACAGATGGGGAGGGGGCAGGGGTCGAGTGAAACACGTGTACCAGAGAGATAGCAGACGGATTCTACGGGGAAAGAGGGAGACTTTGATAGGACCCAAGGAAGGACTACGTATAATATGACAGACTCTGGTCACTATTCCCAGCACAAGGGTGAATGGGGTGATAACTAGAGTGTGGAGTGTGAAGAATTTTCATGAATGCCGCTCGAAGAAACACACCACACTACATTAAAAATAAGCACGGTAAAAATTGTGTCAGGGAAGGCATGATAGAAGATATAGAAAATGTGAATAGCCCAAGGGCAGAAGGGGAGATACCACAACTGTTTAGCACACGTTTGGTCAAAGGATGGGCTTCACTTGTCCCTT